GGTCTGCCCCACCTTTTTCTGGGCACTAGCGCAGGCCTGTGAAAAGTGTCTTACCCTTTAAAGGAGCATGCTTCATGAGAAGGCCTGCCGGCCAAGCAGCGGCCGTTATGCTATCCATCGATTCGACTCGTGAAAGAGTTGAGGTATTATAAGAGATACAGCCTCAACACTTGGAAATACAGATCCCACCGGCACATTACTGTTTTTCTGTTGTCGGATGAATTTCTAGCAGTCTACGAAGAGGCGCATAAAGAGAAAACATACTTTGGAAGAATCGCCATGGCGACTTTGAACAGAGGCCAACCCGCAGCTAGGATGCGGTTTGGCCGTGGACATCGGCGGCTAGGCCACAGATATAGACGGCCTATTGTGACAAGGTGAGGACAAGGAAGAAGGCAGTAATGACCATCGCAAGAACTCTAATATTTCAGCATCAAGTGTGTCTACAACCTACCGCGAGAAACTTGAGAGGACAACCCGCAGGCGCAAACTGTTTCTGGGGCCTCGAGCAACTGCCTTGGCATAGCCATTTTCTCAGCGGATCACTGAACAGGAGAAATGATGCCTAATATTAATAATGCATAGAATTAGTCTCCACAAATGTACTGAGAATGATGAACGTGTAACCGAGATGCAGAGAACCACACGGGACATGACAGAACGCGAAAGCCACAAAGGTGCGCCGCTTACGTACTCGGAGCAATTCCTAAGAGTATTGCTAAGAGTTTGAGGCCTATGTAATTGGTTGCCTTGCTCTTCTGCAACAATGGCCAAGCCGTTCATACCTCGTCAACGGTTGCAGGACTAGGCGACAGTCTGTACCCTGCAAACCAGTAGAAGTGCTATAGCTGTCAGGCTCCTTTGGTTATTCAAATGTAGCATTCTAAGATCTCAGACGCACTTCCACAGCGGCAACGTAATCGAGTGGTGGTGCCCCAGCCCTGGAAGCTCTTGTCATAAAACTGTGAGGTAAGTCCCAGCGGATGAATCACACTCTGTATAGATTAGCAGGAGGAGTGGTACACAGTTAATGCTAGATCCCTCGCGACACAAAACGGAGGGTAGAAAGGCGACACACTTCAAGGCAACATTCGAGGGACAAAAGTGGTGCAAAAGTAACGTAGAGAGCTGCACCAGCTCGCAACCTGTGAAATAGGGCAGCATTCTTTCGCTTGCTGCAAGCAGTGGAGGGAGTGGGTAGAAGAAGATTTGGTTATAGACAGTTGTGCTTGAGAGCCACAGAGACAAGCATCGTTTTTGCAATTGCTAAGGCAGAGGAAAACGTCTTCGGAGACACTTCGTCGTAAAGAGAGGCTCCGGTGCATAGAAGATGCCCTCCAGTAAAGCTCCCCTTACGCTTGCTTTCAAGGCAGTGCCTGAAGAAATTGTGGCAGGGATTCTTTCCGGTTGCATGGGGATTGTGGCGCGGCTACTTAGCCAGGGTGTTCAGACACACCTTTATTTTGGACAAAAGTTACTGCATTCAATAAGGCGGAAACGCCACAGGCGGTAGCTTGCCTGCAGGAAATGCGAGTGAACCCCGTTGCTGAGCGAAATGCCGTCTTCCGCCATGCCGTCTTCCAACAATATTTAGAAAGACGAATACCTCGGCACTAGTACATTGTAAGCAGAGGGAATGGGACAGTCCGAGAAAATCGTCAAGACATTCAAACTTGGCAGCTAACCAACACGGGCATCTTTAACTTTCCATAAATGCCGTTGGGATTTTGAACCAAATACGCTGAAAAAAATGAACGTCTTCAATTTCTTCAGCGTATTTGGCGCATTTAACAGACAAGTAATTCAATTTGCAAGTATAAAGCCCTTTCTTCTTTCTTTCGTGGCGTTCATATGCATGTAAGTACTACTCTTTTTTCCTATAGCTCGTTATTTACCTTTATCGTTTCACCTCCCCAAAGAGTTAGCAGTAGTTTGATAATCCTCAGTTTTACTAGGAAAACCTGTTTATTTAAAACTCTTTCTCCATGGTAGCTTGGATTGTGTTTTAGTTCCGTTCTTCTCCAAAACCAACGACGACCGCCCAAAGTTTGTCTATCCTTAAAATTTAGTATGTAGCCATAACAAAATGATAGCTATGGGCTGCTCAAGTTCGCGCGATCAAACAACGTGCAATTTGAATAATAATGCTTCGCGCGTTGAAGTGGAAGGAATCAAGCTTAGCTCTACCACACGATCCCCAAGGTACTAAATAGTTTCAGTGTATATTCATACTCTGTTTGCCGCTGATCGTTGATATGGGCTTAAGATTGTTACATTGGATCGTGGGTCGTGAATATTTGGAGAAGCCGAAGTACAGGCAGGAACACTCCATAGCACAGTCCACTTTCTCACGTTTGATCTCATTAACGTGCTTGGCTATGTGCGCGACTGGCAGAAAAAGGCACACTACAGCAAGGATAAATTAGAACTGACTGTAGGGACGGTTGTCTACGAGCGTATTTTTCATACGCAGACAGTGTCCCCTTCGGTTGGCACCCCCTTGTACTGAGGAGCAGAGCAGAGCGAAGGTTTCAGGTTCATTTCAGCAAGTAAATGTTTAATTGATTGCCTTCTTCTTAGACGATGCTGTGAGTTATGCTTTAGATGTCGTTTCTCAACGGGTGGAAGCCGGCAGGATATCCATGGGCGAGTAACTGCCTGTGCTGATATCCTTGCACTTCAAGTCAGACAGTGCGGATGAAAACGACTGCCCGTCTTATTGCATCGCGCTTAGAGAGTCTCCTTCGGGCTATTTCGACAGCTCGTTGTATTCAAGTCGCTATTTGGAGGGCCCCACTGTCCTGCAAGTGGTTCTATCGGGCTCCAGTGCTTCGAGCATTATTTTACACAAGGAGACAAGCGAAGATTTTAACTGCCAAAGCTAAAAGATTGGATTCCAGTCCTTTTGGCCTTGTTAGATCACGACTGGGTGGTACTCTTCCACAAATTCTGAAGGTTTCCCCTCTGTTAGTCCACTGAGTTTTAATCAACCTGGGTTCGGGCATTAACATACGTCGTGGCGAAATTGGCTCCTTTTCTGCAAATGCTTCTACCAAAGTGAGTTTTGAACTTCTTGCGTCCCCGAAGTTGTCAACTGCAATTTGCCCGCAGTTGGAATGCCGAGAGTTGAGCTTGGACTGCAAAGTGGATTATAGATGCATGAATGACACCATAGACGAAGTCAGAGCACCACTGCTGTAGCGTTTAGTGCAATTCTTTGTAGGTGGTTGCACCAGTTTTCCACAGTTATGCTATCGGATTCGAGTGACTCGCATGTGCAGCCCCGCTTTGTTGCCGAAGTGTCGTTAGTGGGTCATCGACTCCAAACTCCCTGCTCTCTCAAAAGTGTAGCAAGTGATATCGTTAGTACTTTGCTATGTTGAACACCATCAAAGCCGTGGCAATTCGTATGTAGACTGTGCAGAGTCTCCACGTCCCTATGAGGTTGCTCATCTTCCCTAGGCGATGTCTCCGACCTCGTCACAGTTTAAATAGCACTGGCCAAAGGTACGTGTAACCTTCCTTTTGGCTTGAATGAAGTTTAAGGATAGATCGGTCGACGTTGAAGCCGATCATGCAGCAGTGTTTCCGCACGGACGGTATCAACCCGCTGTGAAATGAACTGAACAATGCCCCGAAATCTCCGTTGATTGGAAGTTCCCAAAGCGCTTGTTTCCAACAAATAATATGTCGACACAAATAAATTTCGGGAACACTACATGATTTGAGAACACGGAAATTTCGAGAAGACTCTTTGACCTTGACTAGGATGTGGAGATAACTAACCCAGGACGATCGCCCAAGCGCATTGTACTTCAGCCTGTGAGGTACAGCGCGTCTCTAACACAAGAAATCAGCTGCATCATATTTTGAATGCACAAAATTGTCTCCGTGCCACGACGAAAACCATCCGGTGACCCGGAATCGAACCAGGGACCAACAGATGACTGCTCCTTCTACAGTCTGCCGCTCTACCAACTGAGCTATCACCGGTGCTGCCTCTTCCCCTGCGCAAAGCCATAAAGGCTTTTTGCTCTCTGTTCCTTCAACAGATCATCCGTTTCCTTTCCTACGATAAAGGTTCAGCCACTCAAGTGGTTTCATAACCTTCGGACGTCTGTGAACCCTTAGCGCCACGCTGCTGCTCTCAATCAGGGCTCAAATGCACATTTAGCTCGAGGCTTACGTTGCCTTTAAAACCAGAAAGAATCTGTTCCTGCTCTGACATGCAAAGACCAATTAAATGTAGGCCTCTTGACAGCCGGTCAAGGAAGGTAGACGGCTTTATCCAACGGCACGGCAACTACATAAATACTCTTCCTTACCTCCCGCAACGAGAGCGTTGCCCCATGCGGAGCCCCTTTGATAATCAAAAGTACTGACTCAACTTGCAATAGACTTGCGATGGACTTACGCGTAACAGGCAGTTGCAAGTGCAAAATATGTCTGTAGCGAGGTTACTGAGTTGTAGAGAGGCTTTAGCCCTTATATTCCAGTCCGAAGTTCTCTATCCCGACCCCTGAATTGCCCCTTTAATCCAGGTGCTCGTCGCAAGTGACGTTTAAATCTCTCCACTCTCTTCTCATGTGCGGAGTGCAATTCCTTTGACCTACCGAAGGACATCGTTTGCATAACTCAAAAGATATATTGCAAGTGGAAAGAATATACAGGAATTCCTGGACTTTTAAAATGCAAGTGTACTACTGGGGGGCAGGGGGAAGGGCAGGCAAGCAGATGGGGAAGTAATAAAACTCGGGCCAGTTAAGGCGAGGGCCTTCCAGGATTAAAAAGGTGTACTTCTGCATTGTGGGACTACGGCGAGCCCTTACAACGCTACTGATGATCTGAGCCTACCTTGGGGGCTTCCAGCCTCCACGTCGCACCTTTGTCTTTCGCATTGCTAAACGCCTTGTCGCTGCATAATAAACGCAATAAAGAGAAGTAGATCCTTGGCGAAGCCACACAGGCGGAGAAACTGGAGCCATACTTTGCGCACGTACCTAAAGAGCTGCATCACCATAAACCTCCAACGAAGCTTCTGTGCAGGACCCAAACGGAAGCGCTAGACATCTCATACGTAACAGGGTACTAGGTTTAGGAAACAAACTAAGTGGCGCCTCGCTTAAGTCATCGCACATGTAGCATTTGGCAGGCTTACACTGCCGCCCAACAGATCTTTTCGGTCTGTTCATACGTGCATTGAGTTCCTCCATAGAAGCTCCCGCAGACAAAGATGCCCTGACGTTTGCTGCAACGACGGCGTCCTTCTTAGACACGAGAGAAAGAACAAACCCTTTAGAGCCCAATCTGCCGGTGCGTCCTGCCCTGAAAGCGCATACGCCGCCAGTTCAAAAGTGTAACTCATTTGCATTTGATACACGGCGTCACAGTTCCAGCTGCTGCAGCCAGAAACAATGCAGAAACACAACTTCCTAGCGCTCATAGGAAATGCCGATGTAGCGAAGGCTGCAAGTCCTAACCTGTGAAGGTACTCAACTACCGTTGGCGGAAAGTCCACATTAATGACAGCCTCCACTCCATTAATATGTAGCCCACGCGCTACACTATCGGTCGCCACCAAAATTCGCTGGCCGCTTCCTTCTTGGAATGAGATGAGGCTTTTTTCACGAGCGCTTGCAGACAAAGAGCCATCGTAGCCCTGCAAAGCGTAACATCCCAAAAGTTCAGCCCATACTTCAAGCACGAAATTGAGGGCCTTTTGTTGCTGAAAAAGTAACAGAAAACGGGTTGCATCCAGAACCTAAAAAATCTCATCGCGCCGTGGACTGCGGGCGTGAGAGGGGAAAAGTGCACCCCCTAAAACAGAAAGAACCCTCATGGTAGGCAGTTGAATGCTCGTCTCTGGGCCAGCATTAGGAGTAGCTGTGCGTCACCACGATGCAAAGTTTCGACCTGGAACAAATACATTCAGGCCGAATACTGAGGCGCTACGGCAAAATGTAACAGACGTAAAGATATAGGCTCCTGTATTTCCATTCATTTCCCAATTGAGCCGCAGATACCTCTGCAGGAAGGCCAGCGGATTTCAGATGGTGGTAGCAGGCGCGGCAACTGTCGACAGTGTTGCAGAAGACCAACACTTTCTTGGCACGAAGCTCTGGATGGGCCTTGAGCTGCTCAAGAAGCAACAAAAAACGATCTGCCCCAAGAACTTGAATCATCTCATGCCGTAACTGGGACATCGGGGGGAAATGCGGGCCCCCTGACACAGAAACGACTCTTGTGGGAGGTATTTGAAGAAGTTCACAAATGTCTGCCTCTACGCCACTATTAGGAGTAGCTGTGCACGTCAGCAAGACTTTCTGCCGACCCCGCATCCTCTCCTGCCCCCGGTCTTGCATTGTCTCTGCGTTTAAAAAGTGTGAGCGAAGAAGTAGCCTCTGGATCTCGTCTCTAAAACCGCCAAGCCACGAAGCGTCTGCCTCGTCTAAGATGCAGAACTGCACATCTTCTAGGCTTGGAAGGCCGCCAGCTGGTGTTTGTGTACTATTCCTAGTCACTCCCACCAATGGTCCTTTGAGTTCCCCGAAATCGATGCGTGTCAAGCTCAACAAGCGCTCTGGAGTCCCAATCAGGATATCCACAGGACGCTGCCTCAACAGCCGAAGCTGCCTCCCAAATCCGACGCCCCCAATGGTGCTGCCAACAGATAGTCTGGTGTGCTTCGCAAGCGCGGCTGCGGCAGAAGCTACCTGGGATGTCAAAGGCCTCGAATGGCACACAATTAGTGCGCGGGGGCCCCGCGCACCGTGGGATATTTTACGGGGTTCCACATGCTCCCCAAGGGACTCCGCGAGGGCCCTACAGTCCATCAGGTCTGTGCATTTCATATTATCCCGCAGACGGCGTTTCTGGGCTGCAGCCCATGCCATTTCTTGTTCCTGTAATACCTGCATAAGCGGCAGTAAGTAACAAAGTGTCTTACCGCTACCAGTGTGTGCGCGCAAAGCCACCAAGCAGTCAACGCTAGATTTTTCTGGGGCCAAGACCTGTGACTTTCTCTCCGCCTCTTCGAACGACTTCAGGATATTAGGGATTGCCATCCGCTGAGTCTGCGTCGGCCTGGAGGTAGCTCCCCCCAAAACAGCTGCAGCTGCAGAACTGACCGAGGCATTCAGTCCCAGTGCAGCGAATCGAGCAGCTCCAGCTGAGAGATTTTCTTGCATCCTGAGTGGAGACATCTTTGTGTCAGCGGTGGCTGAGTAGTCCGGAGGTGTTACTTCTGGCTTCGGGTCAGAGGGTTGCTCTTGCACACATTTAAGTTGTGGTGTCCTTTGCGTTTTCGATGTTCCTGCGCCGGTTACAGACTTTCCTCGATCAGCGCTTTGGAGGTAGCTGGTCTTTACAGCAACTTCTGCAGGCGGCTCGTCCCGAACCACTGTCTGGGAGAACTCAGGGGTCTCTGTAAACTGGCAGCGTTCAAGAGACGCCCTGATATTATCCTTTCTGGCTTGCTTTATGACGCGAGCATAACGAAGCTCGATTTCTCTATCACTGAGCGCAGATACTTCCGCTGCAGACAGAGGGCTCTCACCCTCTAGGGCATTTTCAGGCAGCTGCAACAGCCGGCGCCAAGCTGCAACCACTGATAGCCCACCAAAACGAGCGTTTTGTTCTTGTGTCGCTGTGTTTTCAGATACAGCCGCTGATGCTGCAGCATCAGGAGCAGCGACTTCATGTGGGCAATGGAGGCCTAATAAATGACGTACTTCCGATTGCACTGGGCAATACACCTCGGCTTCTGCCACTGCTAGAAGCGTCAACAACAGCTCTCTCCTACCCTCTTGAGACATATTTCCCGCCTTCTCCTCCACGAATTTCCTCATTATCGCTGCCTCTGCAGCCAATGATTGCCGTTCCTCCTTGGTAACGTCTAGCAGCTGTTCTAAGGACTCCACAATTCCCTCTTTTTCATCGTTCTGCTGCCGGAGTGGAGTTCCGTGCTCTTCCTGTTGCTGTGTATGACCCCCTTGAGGTAACAGTGCCTCAAGAATTGGACCCATTGTTATCAAGAGATCCCACACATCTGCATCTGAAAGCTGTTGCAGATGCTCCTGCAGCTCAGGAAACAACTTGCCTTCATGCGTCTTTGATTTTCCTATGTCTACTAGCTGCTGAGCCTCCACAGCAGCGCTGGAAGCAGCAGCAACAGCATTCTCGGCAGCCTGCGCAATCGCCTGCCCCGGAGCTAGCGGGACACTTGCTACGTCATGTTCCTGAGTCTCCTTGTGCTGCAGTTTCTCCCGCTGCTGCTGTTTCTCTTCCTGTTGTGGCTGTGGCTGCTGTTCCTGGATTTCCTGAGAGTCCGCGTGCGTCGCACTATGAGTTTTGTGCCGCTGCGTCCCATCCTGACGGAGGCTAGTGGAGGGCGCCTCCTCATTAGCATTTTCTCCTGCGTCTGCTGCTTCTGCGATATCGAGCAACTTTTGTACGAGCTTCCGTAGCCGCTCCGTTGGCAGCTCCTCCACATTTGTCGCACCGCTGAGTTGGCGAAACAGCTCAGGCGAATGCTGTTGTAGCTCCCTAAGAAGCTGTAACAACCCGTCCCGGCTAATTCCCTCTAGTGTTGCATCGATCTCTACAGGCTCGAGACTGTCAGATCCAACAGATCCTGCAGCACCAGCGGAAATGTTGCCCGGTACTGTGTCTGCTGGTTCTGGCAACAAGTCCTTGGCAAAATCAGCAGCAGCAACCACTGAAGTATGATGTCGCTGGCCCTCTCCTGGAATAGTGAGGGCAATCGCGTGCGAACGAAGATCCGTGGAGCCGGGAAGTGCTGATGCCCGCGGGCGTCCGCGCCTTGGTCGTCCAGATTGCTTCAGCGATACCCGTTTAGAAGTACGCCAGAGCGTATGCACGCCACACGTGTTGTCAGTGGTCAGTGCTATCCAAGCAGACGAGAACGTCACGGGTTTCCAGTCCGACAAGGGCTTCCTAAGGCGTTGCAATGCGTTCAGTGAGAAGCAAGAACAAGACTTGGAGAGCCCCAAATACATCAGCAGCAGAACCTGAAACTGCATGATCTCCCGGGACTCCGTACATTGTATGTAGGCTCAGGTTCTGCAGTAGATGATGCAGCACAGGGTTCGTACCCCGCATTCGTTAGCGGAAGACAGTATGCAATAGAATAGATGTTTCATCAGCTTAGCAACGGGATCTTGATCTCAACGGCAACAAAGGGAAAAATAAGCGAGAATCTCGATCTCAGCGACAATACTGGCACAAATAAGCGAGAATCTCGCCGATACAGGCCTAAAGACGTTGAGCCGATGAGTCTTAACTTGGAAGTTCACCGCGATATTGCTGTATTTTCTGCAAGCAGACAGGAAAGACGTATTCTTGGTCAAAATACACATGATATTCCAGGCCTATGCATATAATATGTCAGAGGTGGCAGGAAACAGCAGGGAACTCTAGGGGCCCCAATAGGCGCTTCATTGTCTTGACCCCTAAAGAGCTCTTCGTTTCGTTGAAGCTGTTTTATGCAGAAAGTGCTGAATTTCATAAAAATAGCTGTTGATATAAGGCGCAGCTACTCTTTGCTTCCATTCGCAGGAATGGGCGCCTGGATAGAGCAATTTTACCGTGGCTCCTGGAGAACCTCCAGTGGATTTTTGTACCCATCGTAACCTCGTGCGACTTAACGTAAACATTTATGAAATTATTTGGATGCCATTTGAACCTGTTCAACGTTATTGCCTAAAGGTGCCGCGTTCCCTCTGTGTTTTGTGGCTCGTGCCATCGAAGCTTGCTCTGCTTATGCCTGTCCAAAGACGATACTCAGCACCGCTACAACTTCCCTCCCATGCCTACCAGCTTACAAGGTTACATCTAGCATGTAAGCAAACAGATCATCGCAGGAGTGCACACTATTGTCACACATAACGCAGCAAACGACCGGCACTAAACTGGCACTAATGCTCGCGCCCTTTTGTGACAAGCATCGGTACTCAAGCACCCTAGCTATCACGACAAGCATAACTCTCGACAATACTGAGTACAAAAGGAAAGACACAGAAAACAATGGCAAGTACTGGTTCGTTTTCACTTTTGTTGGTTACTGCCTCAGCTAGGCGTTCCGGCTACTGTACCAGCCAAGTACTGGTTCGTCTCTATTTTTGCTGGTTACTGCCTCAGCTAAGCGAACTAGTTACTGTATCAGCCACTCGTAAGGTTGCTGCCTCAGCCGCACGTACTGGTTACTGTCTCGGCCACACGTGCAAGAGACTACCCAGCAAAGTGGGCTGCTGCTTCGAAGGTGTAGGGAAATGCGCGCCAGTGCTGGCGCGCATTTCAACAAACAACTCACCCCACCTTCGAGCATCTCGGCTAGCAAAAAAGTAAAGGTAACCCTCCCTTCATTATCATAAGTGGGGCAAAAAGCAGTCATTGTGGTGTACTGTCGTTCCACAGCTAGCAACAAAGTCTTAAACAGGGGTGGAGCGTGTTCTCGACACTCGTTTGTGAACCAGCTGCTCACTTGAATTTCCTTTTGTCATTTACCGGCAACCGAAAAATTTGTCAGTGAATAAGTATGTCAGTGGCGATGGGGAGAGGCGCAAGTAACCATGTCACACTGGACGACTGCAGATCCACTGTACAGGTAGAACCTCACACCATGGCGGACTACATGCGAATGCCTCTCAGAGTCAACCGGAGTTGCCACCACTCAGCGTGCTTTAGAGTCTCAGTTCATGTCGCTCCCAAGTTCCTCACCTTAGTGCGATTTGCATCCTACTGCAGTAAGTCCCCTTGCTACGCAAATATTCAGGAAGAGCATTCCCCGAAGGCTGATGTCCGCTAGAAGGCACTCGTCGCTTTTAGAACCAGGAGAGGATCTCCTTGCATTCTGATCTTGACTTCTTCTAGCTTCTTATCTAGCTGTTTCAACTGGTGGTCGGTTCGTAATACACATAGGTTTCTAGCTTTCAGGACTAAAAATATCGGGCGACCATCTAGGCGGCTAGAAAGCCTATCACTCTGATCAACTCATGAAACATAAATCTCACAAAAAGACCCAGAAAGGGTGCCACTTTCCTATCGTCAACTAATCGCTCTTCGTCTTCTACGGAGACCACGCTCGAAATAACAATTCGACCCCCAGGCAGACGCACCTGTTCGCAGTCTCCAAGCCGACAAGTTATCAATAATTACTCGCATAAGAATGTGCACAACACATTTATCTTCAAAGATCTTAAAGCTATGCATGTCATGTTCTAGTGTTCATCTTTGTTTAGTATGACTCCAGTACCAAAACTTCAGTAGCAATCATCTTAGAGCTAGATGAAGACTCGTGTGCTTCGTCCCCTGGTTAGTCCAGCCACTGGAATGTACTTTAAAATCTGCAGTTCTGTATGAAGCTCGAATTTAGTATGGATGAAAAGAACGCCTTTCTGACTTGTAGTCTACATGTCTCCTTGCGCTATGCTATATCGCCGCACTTGTCTCCTGGACCGATGCCCCACTAGACGCCCAGTGAGTCCTTTTCCTCAGACCATATATGTTCTTTGGGCCTCAAACGCTGCTGTAGTCAACGCCGTCCAGGATCCTTGCCACCAATATTACGCTTCCATGGTATTATCGAGTGCCTCGCAAAGAAATACACCGAGGCGCAACTTTTCAAACGCAACGTTTCGAAACGTTACGTCTCAGTGTAGAGGCGCAACGCTTCACAGCATTTATTGTACACGAATGCTTAAAATGACCTGCTCTAGCCTGGAAACGGCTATTAAATGATCTTTAGGCGCTTCTAATATTTGAAATTTACTAGGGGGCAGAAACAGCGAACATTCTCTGAGCAGTACAGTGTTGCAGCGCTATACAGCGCTGCAGCGCTGTTCCTCCTATCCGCCGCCTTTCTGCCGCCTCAGAGCATGCTTGTGGTGAAGGCAACTTATTACGTCTACGGACCCGGTGAAACTGCACAGAGAAAGTCCCCTCATAAATCTACGACAAAGACCGTCTCGACAAGACGATAAGCGGATTCCTGTCCAAGTTTAGCTTGTTGCTACGCTCAAGGCGCCCGACAAAACGATGTGCCAATATCATTTGTAGACATTTTAGTGGGCGCAGGATCGAATCCTGCTGTTCCATTCCAGTGCTCCACTGCCGGCAGTATAGCGCCTCGCCACCTCTTAGAAAGTATTGGACAGTGAAAAAGCCAAAAAATACCGCCTTCCATCGTCTAGCAGAGATGGTACGGGGTTATAGGTACGCTTCAGGCTTCTGCAAAAGTGCATCTGCAGTGATATAGCGCGCCAACTCCGCACACATTCTTGAATATGCGTCCGCATTCCATACAAGTAAAAAGTCGGAGCTAGCTGCGACTAGGTCCTCTAGGCGTAGATGCGGCGTGCTATTGGATGATCAGGCTGCAAAAATAATTGTTGCTGAGTACGCTCAGATGCATAGTGGTGAGCAAAGGCTCTCACCTTTGCCATCAGCTGTAGCGTGTATCAAGAATTAGTCCTAGTATGGTATACAGTTGTTCTTCCTCATTATCTATGTACATCTGCTTCTGCAAAAGGCACCTCCAGGCTAGGGAAACCGAGGTCACTGCTCTAGCGCAGCAGCAAACAGCACGAAGGTAGCGTTAGCACCCTAAAGGCTTCTTGAGACCTGCTATCTCGAAGGTTTCTCATTTAGCAAAACGCCTGTTGAGGGTTCAGAATGCTGCGATATGCTAAGGAATTTATGTAAAGCTCCTCTCCTTCTTTTAGAAAGCTACCAACGGCAGCGCCTGGTGCGTTTATCAAAAATGCAAATTAGGCAGTGATTTACGTCAAACAAATACCGATGTAGGAGATTTAGGGACTTGCCTGCTTTCCGTTGGGTTGCGTGCGTAAAGTGGATTACGGACAGAGCTCTCAGGATACGTATATCCTGCGCACCCTGCAGCAAGGCGCTTCATGACTGGCTAGTAGCAACTCTGTAGCTAGGTGGCAATCTGCATGCCGTGGAGTCAGAAGTTGAAAACGCACGGATTTTACTATTAGGTCATGTTAGAGCAATCCATAGCAATGATTTCTAACTATTACGTGGATCTACATTTCATGAATTATGTGGCTTCACAGGCGAATTTTCGGTTATATTGTAATGGTTCCCACTGCAGATACCTTCTGGCGCCAAGTTTGCCAAAGTGAAGGGCATCCTGTGAAGTCACAAGCTGGCTCCAAATCGCGCTGATCGTGAGACTGGCCTTGCCAGTTCATAAGGCATTAAATATCTCTCTTCGTGCCTTGCTGGCCCAATATTTCGCCGAACTCGTACCGGTCTGTACGTTTAGTGGCGGCATTTGCAACAGGAAGCCAACAAACAGCAGTTTCTTCAGCGAGTAGCTGAGGGTCGCAGGGGAGGTGACGAGTGAGTTGGGCCCCCTGGAAAGTATTGTGACGCCAGGAAGCCTGACGCAACTCCAAGCGGCAAACAAACTTGCCAATGGCCTTTGTTACTATAAATAAATCGCTTCAAATAAGTAAAAATTCAATGTATTAGTTCGCCTCCAGTAAGCGCTTGCAGTTAGGCCACGCTTTGTCCCCGCTGCGAAATCAACTTCATGGAGCGTGGAGTTCGTGCATGCCTTTTGCTGCCAGTTACCACGGCACATGTGATTCTGCACTCGAGCGTAGCACTACTCCAACAGCTTCGTCATGCAGGTGTGAACGGTGGTGGCTACGAAACCGGTGATGCTACTATAGATTTCCATTACGGAGTTCTGAGGGGTGGAGAAAAATTGGGTGACAAAAGGCCTTACCGTTTCGTAAGTGGGTTGGGAGCAGGGAGCACACGTACCCATTTCTGCTCATCCCATTCAGGCGTAAAGTGAATGCTTCACAGTGCGGATGACACGCTTGGTCCTTCCGTTGCTGTGGGTATGAGTGGTAAGTGACACAGCAACCTAAATGTTGAAACGGGTGCGAGGGTCTCTTTCAGGAAGGAGTGCTTCAAAGAACATATGACAGCATACAAGACGGTCAGCAACGAGCTTGAAAAGTTCCGCTACTGTATTTGCTTTATTCAT